ATTTTTCAAATATTGTATTCAGTATCCGTATCCATGGCCAAATTTGTAAATATCCGAATACCGAATACTTTTTTCGATCTTCGGATACTTTTGAATTATTCGATGAATGAGAACCAGACCAAACCACCCCAAGATACGCCTGCTTGTACAGGCGTATCTTGTCGCATTTTGTCGGGCTTCTTCGAAAACGGTGAAATACAATTTTAGCACTTTGCCACCTCGAAAAATGAGTTATTAGAGTGCCTCATATATCAAAAATGTGCAGTAGACCCCACTTACTTACGGAAGTAAGCAAATTCTATAATTCAGTTACAGAGTCCAAATATTGTGTAATATGGATGCTAAACCCAAAAAGAGGATAAGAAAATCCAAAGAAACTATACAGGAGGCTATAGACATGGTGTTAGATGGTAGAATGTCTATTAGATCAGCAGCATCTGAATGTGATATAGCTAAATCAATGCTAGCTCGACTAGTGGCACAGGCAAAAGCGTGTACTCCTGAAAATAAATTTGTTTATGAGCCACAGATTGGGAACAGAAGAGTATTTTCACTTGAAGAAGAGATAAGCTTAAGCCAATATTTAAAAATGTCCTCAAAAATGGCACATGGTCTCACTTATTCACAAACTCNACATTATATTTAGATGTTTTTGATTCGATGTTTCTATGGTTGTGTGTTGTTATATATTGTCAAGTTCAGTTGTTATATTTTACCAGAAATAAAAATTATCAAAAGTCTCCATAAAGTTCTTATCATAAACATAAAGTATCTTCAAACAGGTTATGGGCCCAGGCACGTTTCAATAAAACTGGCATATATAAGTAAAACTGTTGTTGATATGGATGTGACAAAATTCAACATAGTTAGGCTGAATAGCAATAATTACCAAATATGGAAATGTAAGGTTGAAATGCTTCTACTGAAAGAAGAACTATGGAGCATAGTCACTCAAAACCCATCTGAACAAATTAACAGTGATTGGGATACAAAAGATGGTAAAGCGAGAGCTACAATTGGTTTACTAGTCGAAGATTCACAAGTGATACATGTTGAGAATTGTAATACAGCCAAAGAAGCCTGGGAGAATTTAAGGAAACAATATGAAAAACCAACCCTTACCAACAAAGTTTTTCTGCTGAAGCGGTTATGTAAAACTACATTACCTGAAAATGGTGACATGGAAAAGCACATAGCTAATATGATGAGCATTATCGATCAGTTAGTCACATTGGGAGAAAATCTAGCAGAGAATCTACAAGTAGCACTACTTTTATGCAGTCTCCCGGAAAGCTATGAAAATCTGGTAACAGCATTAGAAGGAAGGGCAGAGTGTGATCTGACTCTAGAAATGGTAAAAGGCGAATTGGTACAGGAGTATCATAGGCGGAAGGAGAATTCCACATCAACTAGTGAAATGGCTCTAAAAGTTTACAAGAAAGGGTCTGTTAAAAAGTCATTCGAGTACTGCAATTCGAAAAGTGTAATATGTCATTTCTATAAGAAAATGGGACATATGAAGAAAGCTTGTTTTTATTATAAGAAATCGAAAAGACGATCAAATACAGCCAATGTAGTTTCTACAGATAATGAAGAAACTGACGAAAACACTCATGCTTGCTTTAACGTTAGTGATAAAGCTCAAGTTTATGAATGGTATATAGATTCTGGAGCAAGTAGTCATATGACAAACAATAAGGATTTTTTTAAGTTTTTCAAGGATTCGCTGAGTGAAGTTGAATTAGCCGACTGTAGAAAGTTCGTTCTTATGCTGTAGGAACTGGACAGTTAATTTGTATTCTGAATGACAATAAGAAAACAGAAAACACAGTGAAGGACACCCTTTATGTACCCGAGCTCGGTACAAGTTTACTTTCGGTCAAGAAATCAACACTTCTTGGATTCAAAGTCGAATTTGATAAACAGCATTGTCTCATCAAATCAAATAATAGAGTTGTTGCTCAAGGAACGCTGGTTGGTAATTTATATAAACTAAATCAGTATATTTCAGCAATGACTGTATGGGAAGGCTTTAATGGCGGCTGCATTCATTTATGGCACAAAAGGTTTGGCCACTGTGATTCTACCATTATACGAGAAATTACAAATAAAAACATGGTGAATGAAATGAAAATCAAGAATTGTGGACGTTTATTGACATGTGAAACTTGCATTGAAGGTAAACTGTCAAGAAAATCATTCCCAAAGAAATCTTTGACAAAATCTACCAAAGTATTAGATCTATTCAATCAGAAATCCGAAGTATCAGAGTAACTTCAAGATTACGTCAGAATGGTCGAAAATAAATTCGGCAGAAAACCAAAAATCATCAGATCTGACAGAGGAGATGAGTATATGAACATAGAAGTTAGGAATTTCCTGAAAAATGAAGGTATAGAAATGCAACTCACGGCGCCATATTCAAGTCAGCAGAATGGTGTAGCTCAAAGAAAGAATAGATGTTTAACAGAGATGGTCAGGTGCATGTTAATTGATGCTGATCTACCAAATACTTATTGGGGCGAAGCAACCATGATAGCAAATTTACTTGAAAATTTGGTTCTGACAAGGTCAACCAATAGGATCCCCTTTGAATTATGGCACGGGAAGAAACCAAATGTAAATCACATTAAAACCTTTGGCAGTATTGTTTATGCACATATTCCTGAAGAAAAACGCAATAAATTAAGTGAAAAGGTAAAGAAATTCTTATTAGTTGGTTACGAAGCTGGTTCCAAAGCATATAGACTTATTGACAGAACCACTGGAAAAATCACCATTAGCAGAGATGTACATATTTTAGAAAAAGCTCATAGCGGATTTCATCAAATGAACGAGTTTCAAAACACTGAAAATAGATGTGATTGTGAATGTCAAAATGACAACAGTGAAGTTGAAATATCATTTTGTCAAAAATCTACAACTTCTGATGGAAATATTCATGTGAACGACGAATTTCCAACAGAAAATATTGAAGAATACTCTGCAGAAATGACTGATGAAGAGACTGGTATTCAGGAAGTTGAGGAAAGTGTAACCTCGAAAGAAGTAATGCGAAAATCCAAGATGAAGTTCACGGTTTGAGACGATTACAAAGAATGAATAAAAGTGTTTCAGCCAAGAAATATTCTGAAGAATTTTCAGTGGACAATATTCAAACCGAGCCATAGTGTAGCTCTACAGAGGAGAGATGCGAACAAATGGATCGAGGCTATGGACGAGGAAATACGTTCCATGAAAGACAATAATACTTGGACATTAACTGAATTACCACCAGATAAAACGGCAATTGGAAGCAAATGGATTTTTAAATTAAAAACCGATAATCAAGGCAATATATCCAGATATAAAGCAAGGATTGTTGCTCAGGGTTTTTTTCAAAAATATGGTCTTGATTATGACGAAGTTTTTGCTCCAGTTATCAAACAAACAACATTTCGTCTTCCCTTAACCATTGCTGGGAGGAAGAAAATGCACCTTCATCATCAAAACGGCTTTTTTAAATGCGGATTTGAATGAAGTAATATACCTGAAACAACCCCAAGGCTATATTGAAGAAGAACAAGAACATTTGGTCTGCATATTGAATAAAACTATATATGGATTAAAACAATCAGCTCGAATATGGAATTCAACAATAAACAAAGTTCTTACTGATATCGGTTTTAGAAGGGGTGATTATGATCAATGTCTCTATACTAAAAAAGAGGAAGATAATTTCATTTACATACTGATATGTGTGGATGATATTCTAATAGCTTGTGAAAACATAACCATTATCGAGAAAACAGCCGAATTGATACAAAAAACTTTCAAAATGACAAGTTTGGGAAACATTGAAAATTATCTTGGAATACAAGTAAGACGAAATAGTGATGGACTTTATTATATTCATCAACAGAAATATATTTCAAAACTATTGAAAAAGTCCAATATGGAATCTGCCAAACCAGCTAGCATTTCTTTGAATAGAGGATGCTACAAAAACAGATTTTCCACTGATGAAAAATTTCATAATGAAGATATTTATAGATGCGCAATAGGAGCACTGTTGTATCTTTCTGTGAATACAAGGCCTGATATATGTATTGCTACGTCAATTCTTGGAAGAAATGTTAGCAATCCTCATAAATACGACTGGACAGAAGTAAAACGGATCATGAAATATCTTGAAGGAACTCTGAATATAGAAATTCAGTTGGGAAATCTTTCAGAAGGAAATAATATTTTATACGGTTTTTCCGATGCTGACTGGGCTGGAGATAAAACTGACAGAAAGTCAAATAGTGGATTCAAATACATGGGGGCGATGTTCGATTGGCGATGTAAGAAGCAAATTCGTGTGGCACTTTCATCTACCGAGGCAGAATTCATTTCCCTGTCAGAAGCTTGTCAACAGACCTTATATTTGACAGAACTCTTTCAATATTTTCAAATCGAGATCTCAGAGACGATTATTTTCGAAGACAATCAATCAAGTGTTAAAATAATTGACAGTGGCAAAATGAGTGACAGGACAAAACATATAGAAACGAAATACAATTTTATCAAAGATCTGAAGCAGAAAAACAAAATTAATTTTCAGTATTGTCCAACCAATTCGATGTTGGCTGATTTTCTGACAAAACCACTTGGGCCTGAAAAATTGTCAACATTAAGAAATTTGATTGGATTAAAGACAGAAAATTCATTATTGTTGATAAGGGGTGTTGGAGATTAACAACAAAAATGAATTCGATGTTTCTATGGTTGTATGTTGATATATATTGTCAAGTTCAGTTGTTATATTTTTTACTAGGAATTAAATTATAAAAAGTCTCCATAAAGTTCTTATCATAAATATAAAGTATCTTCAAACAATTAATACAATGTAAATTGGTGTATGATCAATAAATGTCTTTCTTTCTATCTATCTATCTATATCTCTACGGAATTACTCAATATTACACTATATAATCGACCTTGTCTACAATTTCTAAAGAAATTCAGTGATTTCTTACCTGAATAAGGCTCACTACAACAAGGATAGTACTCCTCATTTCTTGTTGCGGGCACTGCTAAAATATCCCATTCCACTGACAAGTAGAATTCAGACAGATCGATTCCTACTTTGACTATATTGCTTCCGGAAATTTGATCCATATGTTTCAGATCCACCTGTCGAATGAAACAATACTTAAAATTTGTTATTTTATAATTAAGAAGTGAATGAAGGCGACAATTCAAAACATCCAGAACAATTACTGCTCCCACGCACTACATACAACAATCTTTCGATGAGGTCTGCCACACGGCCTCATTTGGTAGCTCATACACATAAACCTTTTCTCGTACTTCATCAAGCCAATTGCCTCCTAGCCCTTCGACCAGCTAATCTGCGTCAAAGTTGGTACTGCTATTTCCATCCCACTTGCCCCTAAAGCTGGAATCCCCCATCCCTGCTTTTTATATTAGTCCACGATGCACCCACAGTCCAAGGGATACTTCATTAGGCCGACGACACCATTCTATATTCCTCAGCTCCAAACACCCGAATCCTACAAACTGAAACCATGATAAATCACTTCGCGTTCTGGTGCAGCAAGTGACAGATCAAAATGAACCTTACTTAAATACAAATCATCCGCCGCAGACATCCCAACGCTTAACTATGACGAACTACTAACAACTTATACCTTCGTCTACTGGGAGAAAATTTTTCGCTCCCGGACTCGGTGTCCTATTTGGGAATGACCTACGCGAGACCCTCAACATAGTCTGTGAAAATTTAAAAATCTCCTGTAAGCATAATGCAACCTAGGAAGATGTGTCCCTAAGACTCTACTTTCTACATTTGAAATGTTTATAAGATCATGGAGGCAAACCCACCCTCTACTAACAACCGAGAGAAGAATAGTTCGAAAAATTCACAACCTCTCCTATCTATTCTCACCTAATCACCTATATAATATAGTCAAACTCACACCTATCAACTCAAGAATCCAGGAATTTCGAGGCCGATCCGTCTATCGAACCCTCTACTACACAAACACCGCTTTCATCGACAAACTGTTGAATCCTTGAAAAACATATGCTACCACCAAAAGAACCTCCTAGCCAGACTCATTGGAGCTCTGGAGGATATTTTGGGGTATTTCCAGGACATACTGGACGAGTCCAGATGGCAATCAGGTATCGGGCAGCCCCAGGTCGTGCCTGAACTCTCAAACCGATCCCACCGTAGGCCACATCAGACAGAGCCAACTTACTGGAAGGTACCGTACGGTAACAGCTAATGTTTCTAGAGTTTAAAATTATTTCAAATCAAGAATAATTCATCATTCTTGCATAAGGAAGATATTGTATGATATGGATTTTATTGGTCAGTTCCATTAATTCAATATGTAGATGAGTTCTCTATTCAAATATGCCACACATTTCTTCAAACAATTTGATGTCAATGTCCGATCAGAATTATATCTGGAGATAATATACTGTTATCAGCCATCAGTTACCCATTGTTCGCCTGAACACAAAACATTCTAAGAAATCACCACTGTCTGTGTTAATAAGACTTTCAACAACTTGACGTAAATGTTACCTCCCATATAAGTTAATCACACCATTTATATCTCTTGGGGACAAAATAAACGGGAAAAGATCCTGGCGGTCACCTAGAAAATCCTACATGGTCCCCAAGCCAGCAATTTCGAGAACAAAAATAAAACTTCCCTGATTATTACGGGATCATATAGTTGTTACGACAAAAATAAAGTTAAAATTGTCCTGGAAAATCTAATATTGCTTTATTTACGACAAACTGCGTTTTAGGATGGCTTTATTAGTGTCTCATATATTTTTTATATGTTTCAATAGATGTTTATGGAGCTCAACATGGGTCTGGAAAAATAATCTCTATCCGTGAGTTTTTTAGTATTATTAGATATGAAGGGGGTGGATTTTGACACAGTTGTATATCACATGAAAAAGTTTTAGTTGGAAACACGTAAAGGCACGAAATGGAAAGATAGATACGGAATAGTAGTCTTCATTCTCGTGAATGATTTTATAGAAGTATTATCAGAAAAGTAATGATATATCGTTTTTATAATGTAGAAAGCAAAATGAAGTGAAAAACATGTGGATATAAGGCACTATCTGAAAATACTTAAAAATGTTATGTGATGTATAGCAAAAGGATTTCCCAGGTGGATCCAAAAAAATTACATCCACTCACAATTGGACATTCGGGAAAAAACTCAGTGATGTTTATGATTTCCATTCGAAACTGAACTACAATATGTTGGATGCAAAGGTAGATCAAATCAATGATAACAGCTACCTTTCAGATGAATTACTATTAACATCAAAAAACAAGTACGACCAAACATCAACCTGATAGGTGGAACGGTAGCCGGTTGGGTTGACGTGGGTGGTTTGCTCCACTCACTCAATTGACCGCTGTGTGAACCGGTGATCCGAACCGCAAAGCCGGACGATCAATTTTCACTTCCTATTATCCAAGTCGTGTTAGAAATCACACGTTGAAAAGTAAGACCTCGATAGTCCTTAGCTTGCAGAAGTTTGGACTTTTGAGAGTTGCCTTTCATAGGGGTGCGACAGAAGGTTAACGGAGAAACAGATTTTTAAACAGACAGATTTCATGAAATTTATGAAGATACATAATATGAAATTAGTTTTGACGTTAACCAATATTTCGTTCCACACTGTCTCAATTTACGAAAGCATTGAAATATCCACTACTTATATTGATCTCAGAATTTCCAAGAATGAATATTATCGTTTGTGAAAACTTTATGTTATAATTTTCAATTTTCCTGTTTAAAATAGTACCATCATAATCGAGTGATTTCAATGCAAACCGCTAACCCTAATTTTCCGCGTTTATTCAAGCGAAGATATTCGAATATAGTTGATCCATTTGTGAATATACAGAGTGGCCACTTTTCTAATGAGATTGAATTTTTAACTTTGAAACCATAAGAGTTAGAAGGTCGGTCGAATGGAGAAAAAATTGCATTCGTCCAAACATTGTGATGTGGTTCAAACAAATCGAGAATATCAGGGTTATTAATATATCATAAGAACAGTGAATTGCTTCATTTTGTTTTTCTTTTTTCTCGCGTTCATTCACAAATTATCAAAAAATATTACACGCATTTTTATTCGATACCTATTTCTCTTCGATTTGACGTGATCAGATTTCGAATCCAACGTTTCGTACTCTCTGTGCCACCCTCCACCTATTTTTTTTTTCAATAGGGACCTGCATATTTTTTGGTATATCCTCACAAATAAAAATCCAGCGCAATCAAATCCGGAATTTCGGAAGGGCATGCCATTGGACCTCTTGTTCCAATCCATGAATCACAAATAGTTCGATATTAATAATATGTGACTATTCTTGAGTTGTGTGGACCACATCTGTCTTGTTGGAACCAGGGACTATCACGCCGATATCGTATAGAAAGATCATCTAGCATTTCTTTTATCATTTCTACATATTTTGCTTTGGTTAGGTTGCCGTCATTGAAATAGGGTACACCTTTCGTTGACACCAATTGCAACCTTCTTTCAGGATCATTACGGAATATGTTTTGCACGGTTTGATATTTGTAGTTATGGTATCCGTGGCTCTTGACTTGACCGTGTCTCGATCCTATTCCTGGATTCATTCGAATTTGGGCCAGGACATTGATGTCATTGATAGGCGCGTTTCATCTTACATAACGAAATCTAGATTTAATGTCTGAATTATGTGCAAGATTAATATACAGGGGGATACCTTGTACCCGGTTAAGTACCTCCACCAAATATGAGCCCCATATATAAGACCTCCCGTGAAGGATGAAGGATCAGATTAGTGGAAAAAATTGATCATCAGAAATTCTCGAGCGCGTCAGATTAAGGTAGGGTGACCTAATTACATGCTAAAAAGGGTATATTTCAGTAATCTGACAATTTGAGAGTGACGTAAAGAAAGGAGATGGCAGCAACGTTGTAAAAAAATAACGTCACTTTGACATTCTCGAGCGCAGCTAATTGTTTTTAATTTGAAGGAAATAATTCAAGGATAACGAAAAATATTTATCTAACGATTTCTGCAAGCCGAAATAACAAAAATTCGTCGATAAAGTTCAATGCGTGCAGCTGTGTGATACCTATATTTCCCTCTCCGAGTTTTTATTCCTCTATTCTTCATTCACTTTTCCACTATCTATCACTCTCTCACTCCGTCCCCACTCCGAATTCTGTTGCCATGACCCCATCACAGCTGATCACAGAGACTCGTTCGTGATGGAGCTGAAGATGATGATTAATTAATCAATTGATTACAAAAAATTAAATTTTTTGAGCATTTTTCAAAAATTATTTTCTTATAAATACAAGTATTCTACTTAAAAACATACACTCATTGATTTGCATGCTATTTCCTGAGCTTTTCAATCAATTAAGTTCAACGATTAAAAAAAAATGAAAAAACAATTTTTTTTTAAGAATAGGCAAATCCCTCTAGATAATCGTCAGATTATGAGGCAGCACGTCTAGAACATAAAAATGAGCGATATATATCTCAATCTGACACGCCAGAGTCTTTAAAAATTGCGATATAAGCTTTGCAACCTAATATGTCTCTATGACCCTCGAGTAAATCCCCATTTTGCATCGTAGGCTCCCCTACTATTGGTTTCGTTCTTTCACAATATAATTAATTCAAGATATCTTTGTCGTGCTTTGAACGAATATCTAGTTTCATGTATGTATAGTCCGTATCTACATGTCTCTCTTTTTTTCAGTTGTGTATCTTGAATTGAAATTACAAAAAAGTATTTAACGACAAAAAGTTTTTGTGACATAATAATGAACGAAGTGACAAATAATATGAGATTTCTTGTGCTATATTCTTTTTCATCCACAGCCTACTACTTGAAAATTGCGAAAAAACAAGTCTTTCAACGATATTGATGTTCTGATCTAAATTTAATTGAATTCAGAAAAAATATCGAGTACTGTGGCCAGTGAATGTAATTCATCAAAAACTGCTATTAATAAAACAGTCAAGAGACGCGGATACAATGATTTTAGATTTGCAAAAATCTTGCAAGTCTTGCAAAAATTATATCGTAAAGATCTTGAAAAAAATATTTCAATTC